AGCAAGTTTTCAGCCTACACTTGTGGCTAAATACAGCAGGGTCTGAGGAAATACTAACCTCGCTAAGACTAAGTCAAGGTATTCAGCTGCTGGGCGCAGCTGAAAACACCTGGTTTGAAGGGCTGCCTGAGACCTGTATACGTCTCTGGAAAAACAACTTGGCCTGCTTAACAATGTTGAAGGCCAGGGAGTTGAAGGTTACATTTAAGTTCAACAATGCAGAATTAGAAACAGAGGATCTCAAATTCAGACTAGCAAATATTCTAGGAAAGAATTTTACTCCACTAGTAGCAACAATGCTTAGGAAACTCAATATAATCTCATTCAAACAACTTTTAACACAGTTTGGAGATCACTTAATAACATGGCAGCAACTGAAGATGCTTAGAAATAGGTCAAGCAGTGGAAAAAGTGCGAAATGGTTTCGTACAATCGAAGAAGTAGTAATTGAAGATAAAGAAAGCAGACTGATTAGACCAAAGTATAGACTAGGTGGTCCCAGTGCCTGGGTGCTGCAGATTACACCAGACCTATTAAAGGAAGACAGAAGAAAAAAAGAGTGGATTTGGGTCAAAGCCAAAGAAACAAAAGAAAACCATTGCCAAGAAATTAGACGAACCCTCAACAAACCAAGAAAAATATATCGTACAGAACACTGAAAAGTAAACAAAGAGCCAGTTACAAGAAGTATAAGACTTGAAAGATGTGAAGGTTGCGAACTAGATCAAGAGAAAGAAGAAAACTCCTGCAGAAGCCGAATAAGCAAAGAAAAATTCAAGGGTCAATAACAAAAATTGTGGACAAACAGAAAGGGAAGGCCCTTAAAGTTCATCATGAAATGCTGTTCTCCCGGTAACTTATGATAAGCTTCAGATTCCCATAAATGAAAAAGTATTGCAGGATATCCAGATCTATAATTTAGATACAGAGACCATTAAAAACCAACGTATCAGCCTAACTTTACAGAATTATCTAATAGAGAAGAACCAAAAACTTCAATGCAGCTCCTTGTCTCAGTTTACTTTCTATACCGATGGCTCTTTAAGAAGAAATAGAAAAATAATCCAAGCAGAAGCAGATAAAATGAGAGCAAGCTGGGTACTAATAGATGAAGAGAAGAAGAAAGTCATCAATGAAGGATACCTCAGAGCAAAAAACTGACTATCCTCAACTAAAGCAGAGCTACTAAGAATATGGTATGCACTCTTAGTCACACTAAGAAAAAAATAAAAATCTATACAGATAGTGTAGCAGCTTTAGCTAAATTAGAAAGTAGAAATTGGAATAAGTTAGCTAGACAAAGATTAAGAGTAAGGAATTATGACTTAGTAAAATATATTATAGATATAGCAAAAATGAAAGAATTACAGTTAGAATTAGAAAAGGTAAAAGGATATAGTAGAAATAGGTGGAATGATATGGTGGATAAACTGGCAAAGATGGGATTTAGAATAGTAGATAGAGAAAGAATTATAGACAAACCCCCACAAAAATCAAATGTCTCTTTATGCTAGGAAGAAACAATAGTAGAAGCTCTTATGAAAAAATTTTTACAACTAATACTTGAGCTCAAAACAGAGATAGAATGAAAATCTACATTAGCAATTACGAAAATAGAACCCAACGTGATGGACA